CGATTAGAAAATATGTGATTTTTCACACGTTGTTTGATGTACATCCCGGGTTATAGGTACTGTATTTCAGACTGTTGGGAAAAGATTCCTGGTTTGAACTGTAATGGTGTAAGCGGGTGGTTCAGTTGGTGTAGAGAAAGGGTTTCCCGGTTTTAGTTGAAATGATGGTAGCGGGTGGTGTTGGTGGAAGGCTGCCTGTGTGGTCCACGGTGAACGGCACTGTGTCGGGCTCCGCGTAGAGTGCTGGAGGTCCAGGTTTCTGATGAATGTTTCATGTCAAATTTGTGCGGGAATTATTTACTACTCCTATATCTTTCATTGCTCTTCATTCCAATTCATGTTAGAAAGCCCCCAGGAAAAGGTATTCCAGAAGGACGGGAGAAATGTTCATTAGATTTCAGATTCTATCAAAAAAATAATAATAGTACTTGAATCATAATTTTTGACTGCTGTCACAGAAAATATTTGTAATTTGTGGTTTCAGTCCTTTCAGTAAAAACTGTTAAAATCGTGAGTCAGAATATTTCTATTGTCCTTTATTTCTGACGTTCCTCCAGCTCACGCACAATGAAATCTTGCTTCATTAAAAGTGTATTAATCTTGTCTCTTGTCTCTAGGGAGGCACCTTAAGATGATGTTTTGTCTTTTTCTTTAAATTGTTGGAGAAAATAAATCTCCCAGATTTGGTCCCTGTCAGTCAGAAATAATTGTGTGCTTAATCTTGTCCCTGATGGATGACTTGGAGTTCAGCAATGGGCCAGCTCCAATGACAAATACAATATTAATATTCATTAACTGCTTTGACAATGCTAATTTTGATGCAGTAGTAAAGGGCCTTCCAAAGTTAGCGGCCAAACCATCAGAGCTGCGCAAGGTGACAAGATAATTTGTGCTGGTTTACTGAGCTGAAGGCTTTTAATGTCTTAAGGAAGGAAAAAAAGCTAGGTACCACAAACAAAATAAAAGAGAAACGGAAAAAGTTCACACGTATAGGAAACCAGGACTGCGGAAGTAATACGATCAAGAGACGGCTACAAAAATTTGACACCTCCGATGCCTCATCTTTGAGCAAATATATATATATTTTTAAACAAAAAGTTGCAACCAAAAAAAAGAGTATAACATGGTAAGTCAGCACATTCTTGATTTTGTTTAATCTTTTTGATCTTTTAAATTATCGCCATTTGAAGATCAATAGTCATTTTTTTCTGCTATGGTTAAAAGGCTCACAGCGGTGGTATGGTGGATGGTCGGATCACGGCTTTAAGAGTGGGCTTCCTCTCTTCAAGCCACCAGTTGTCCGGGCTTAATTTCCTATTGCCAGTTCACTAGGAACCACACCGGCTTGTTTCAATTTATTAGTATTTTTGCTATTGTTAACTGCTGTTGTTGGCTTGTCTTCTGGCTTTGTTTGACTTTGGAGTTGGGGCTCCTTTTTCTTCTCGGTTGTCTTTAAAGATTACAGGGAGACACTGGATGTTGCAAAGCTTTAACAGTGCGACTTGCTCTTTTGTTAATAAATGTCTGGTTGGTCTTTTTGGTATCGTTGTATTTTTACGGTGTCCCTTCATCAAAATCTGGGGCTACCGGCAGGCAGGACCGGGGGGCAATTTGGCCATAACACCACACACTCGCTGCCCGATCGGATTACTTTCTTTGGCTTTTTAAAAACATTTCTTTTTTGCACTGTTGTTTTTTTTGATTTTGCGTTTTATTTCGTCCGACTCATAATGAATGGAGCGTAGCTAGCGTTGAGAATTAATGACATGACGAGGGACACCCCACTGCTTGAGTTTAGCCAAGTTAGGGAAACTCCTATAGAAGACTCGAGTACCTTTATGTCTACCAAGCCGCGGAAGGAAAGCCTCTCTCTCCGTCTCCCTCACTTCTTTCTCTCACTTCTTTTTGTTGTTCTTTCAACTTATCAAAGAAAGTGAGATGGACACAAAGGAGCTTATTAGGGGGGGATATGAAGATGGGCGAGGGGGAGAGAGAGGGACTCCTGGTCAGACGTGGAGGAGAGCAATGTTGCCTGAGAGTGTGTGTGTGTGTGTGTGTGTGTGTGAATGAATGAGGGGGCTGAGTGTGAGAAGCCCGGTTTGGCCGCTCGCTCGCTCTCCTCTGTCGGACCTGGATGGGCTTGCCATCGCTGTCTGGAGCTCCACCGGTCATTTCCCCTCTTCTTTGCGCTGGTGTGTTATCGACTCAGCCGATCAGGCGTTTGGTTTGCGATGGGCTGCCGTAGATGAGGTGCTGCCCCCCAGTGGATTAGTGGATGACATGGTGATGGGCGTCTTGTTGTAGTCGGTGCGCTACCATGAGCGCCAGCATGCTTGTTTTAACCAGGAACCGAGCAGCATCCCAAATACAGCTCTTTTAAATGGTAAGACATTAACATTATTTATTACCTCCTGTGCTTTATTGTTCAACTAATGTAAGTGGACTTGTCTGTCTTTAAATATTATTTTTTATTGGAGTTTGTTGACATTATTGTATGTCTTCCATTTGGCAATTTATAATAGTTTAGTTGCTAAGTGACAGGTTGAAAGGCAGTGTTTGATTGCTTTGTCTGACAGTCTGACAGTGTTTTATTAATCTAAGGCAACTTTAATTTAAAATGATATTTATTATTTTGTAATAATATATTGATCATAAATCATATCAATTATGATTAAGGTAATGAAAATGGTGAAGTGTGTTGTACTGTTAATAACTAAATCTAATGTATTTTTAATTCAGTTTCTTCTATTAATTTTTTTTTGTATACATTTTGATAGTTATTATTCTCAAATAATTTTGAAATATGTATTTTTAATTGCATTTTAAATCATGAAACTCAATTTGTATTATCAGTAAATAATCTATTAAATCAATTGTCATGGTATGTTATCACAAAACAATGTGCCTAGATTAGGGGAATCTCTTTGAGTGTATGCCAATCATTTTCATTATCGTCTTATATTCCTCAAAGTTAAGTCCAAATTAGCAGGATTTGTAACGGTCGCCATCCATTGTAGTCCATTCCGGTTTCCTCTCTTTCATTTATTTTCTTGCACACTTTTTGGTCTAGTGTGAACACCGGAGACAGTGGAGTGGGATAGAGGGTCTTTTATTTCTCTCTTTTTTCAGAGGGGTCGTCTCTCCTGTTGGTCGCACTGTTGCCATTGTGGCCGGCTGATTGGGAGCTGTCCATCATTTGCGGGCGAACTGGCAGTTTACTTAAGAAAGTGCACGTGGGACAAAGGAGGTCGCGGGAGTGTGGCGGCCGAGCTGAATGGAGGGAGGGAAGGCAATTAGCTGCCACGTTGTTGGGGCTCTTTTACTTGTCAAGCTGGAACCTCGTTGCTTTTGTGGGAGCCATGTAAAGGACCTTCCCAGGGCTTTGTTTTGGCATTAAGGGCCTCAGGACTGCCTGGCGAACGCCAGAGAAGAGCAGGCCAAAAAAGAAGAAGATTGAAATAAAATAGTGTGCTAAAAGCCATGCATTAGGTTTTTGTTGCTTCCGTTGTCGTCATTTTTATACATCTTATTGTTGCTCAGATATAAAAAATATGCTGCTCCGCCTTTTCAGTTGCTCCTTTATTGCAAATATGTTTTTGATTCATTGTCACCAGGTAAAATTAGGTGATAATGTATTTGGAATATACAATCGGTCAACTCTACCTACTTTTCTGTCACTAAATAATATTAAAATTATAACCATATAATTATATATTTATTAGAAACCAAAATTGTATATTTCCTTTACATTCAAAATATCTAATTAAACCTTGGTGAAGCAAGTTCTTGTGCAATTAGTTAATTCACCCTGCTTGTTAATTGGTGAACAGCACATGTCCTGCGTATGCTTGCACTGGTCTAAGGCCCTGGAAGTGGTAAGAGCCTGGAAAGCGGCAGGGACAGGAGCATGGTTGTGGGGCCCGAACATTCAGAGGAAATGATCTCATGATAATAATGTTTCAGAGGTGGAGGACAGAGAGAGCAGTTGGGGGTATGGAGGCTTTAGGCCTTGCGTAGTTGATCTTTTTACACAGGTCAGGAAGAGTTAACAGTGGAAACTATTATTGGACAGAAAAAAAAAACAGAAAAGGAAAAACAGAAAGAAGACCCCACGTAGATGTCATGTCCATGTCAAAGTGAAGACAATACATTTCAACCCCCCCCCCCCCCCCCCTGGAAAGTTGGGTTGGAGAGGGGACTGTCAGTATCACACGGATAAGTGACTGTTCGCTACACTTTGCTGAACCTGCCCTCCCTTTGTGGATGTTGTGTCTTGTTCTTTCTTCTCCCCCTCTCTCTTTGTCTCTTTCCTCTTTCCTTGCTCGCTTTACCTTGTTGTAGCCAAAGCTTTTCAAGCTGCCAGTTCGACTCTGGGCTTCCTGGAGGGACTGCAGAGCCCACACACACATACACACACATATATACGAGTGTGCAATCTTGGAGTTTTGTAATAACAAGATTTTTGTTGTGTATATTGTTGTGTATTTTTTCTCGTTTGTTGCTTGTGGGAAGTCTTCTCTGCCCTGCCGAGAAGCAGTACTTTATATTTTTTTCTCGGTTTGTGTTTTCGCTTTCAATTCTTGTGACCGGCACAAACTTTTCTGAGAGAGGAGGCTGCGAGGGGCTGCTGAGAGTGGTGGAGGAAGCTGGGGGATCCTCAGGCTCTTTTGGGGAAGGTAGGGGGGCAGGCTAGGCTCCAGACCCTGAGCCCCATCCGTGAATCCTCAGACACAAATGTCTGTGGAACTTCCAATCATAAAATCCTGGGAACAATGGGCCACTCGTGTCGCGATGAGGATGCCTCGGTTTGAGGGACACACACATGCCCAGCCGCACACACTTCAGCACTTTGGGAGAAGAAGAAGTGAGGGCTAAGAAAAGACGAAGAAGAAGAAGTGGAGGAGGAAAAATAGTGTGAAGAAGAAAGGAAAGGCCATTGGTTTTGAACGCCGTAGTGAGGAAGGAGAAGTGGGGGGCAGGTGAAAAGTAAGCAGGGGGTCATGTACCCGAGTGAGGGCGTTTTAGCGGGGCCGGAGGAGAGGGGAGTCAAAGGAGGAGTCCTTGCCCCCGGGCTCCCCCTCCTCCAGCAGATCGGCTGCTGGCATCTCAATCTCAGTGGCTGGGTGAGTAAACCATACTCCCCTACCTCCTCTCTCTGTCTCCATCTACCTTTCTCTCAATTCCTGTGCTCCATCACTTTATGTTACCGTTGAACTTTAAGGATCAGATGATGATTGTTGTGATTTAAGGGGGGCCCGGGGGGTATTCCCCCTCCTGTAAGTGCAGGCCGGTGGTCATCTGCTTTAAAGTGGCTTTAAAGATAGCTTTTTCCTTTCAAATATTCCTTTTTGCCTTTTTTTAAGTGGCTGTGTATGTTTATGTGCGGGGAGGGGGTGTTCTTGATCTTGGCGTGTGTTTGGGAGGTGTGTGTGGGGATATGCAAATTAGCAGTGTACATTTACAGAAACAGGCCAAAGACAGGACGCAGCATTTGAAATAATTGTCCTAATTGCCATTTTGTTTTAAATTGCTATTCAAATCTATAAACAGTTATTTACTAATAAGTTCAGTAGAACTTTGTATTATTCCTCAAAAGATCATACCTTGTTATTCAACTGAATAGTATTTCCTAGACAAAGCATTATTTGATCATGCTCATGTCTAACCATGAAATGTAAAATATAATTGAAATAACCCACAAATTAACATATTCCTCTCTTAATTTTGCCGTCTAATTCAAAATTATAATTGCCTCCTCTTTCAACTGAAAATGTGAGGCGCTGATTGCATTTCAAAAGATGATGACAGAACTCAGTGTAGCTCTTGCACTGTAGTATCACTGCTTCGAGACACCACTTCAACTCGGGTAGGACAGCTCAAGAGATGTTTACATTCTAATGAGGAAGCATAAACACACATAGCACATTGCTCTTGTATAAAACTCAATATACAATACATTTTAGACAATTATTTATTAAAATCACATTGACAAAGTCATATGGAAGATATATTGCTAAATGTAAATTTGACAAATGACAGACTTCAATATGTATGAATGAATGAAGAGAGATGGAGAATGAGAGCAAAGGCTTTGGCCCAGATACATTTTTTGTTAGGTCCTGTGATCAGCAGCAAGCATGTCACAGAAGCAAAGTGAATAGATTAACTTTTAAATATACTGACTCGGTCTCTAGAGCAAGATACCCTTGGAGTGGGCTGCTTTTTTTCTCCCTTTCTGGAATAGCAATACTGATCGCCTGGCGCCTTTCCTAAATTCTTACATTTTTTTCCCAACACAGTATTGAGATCCTTTAATGTTACTGAGATAGTATTTTAGTGCAAACACAACAGTGAGGGTTGGTTCCATGTCTAAATATGGAAAATATTGGTGTATTTAATGCTGCAGAAATTGTCCAGTTTTAACTAAAATATGGTGATCTAAGTTCATGTTTGTATTTTTATTCTGACACTGTACACTCTTAGAAACAATTTGCTCTCTAAAAGGGTTCTTCGGTTGTCCCTATAGGATAAACCTTTGAAGAACCCTTTTTGGATCCAGGTAGAACCTGTTTGGGTTCCACCTGAAACCAAAAAGGGTTCTACCTGGAACCAAAAAGGGTTCTCTTATGGGTACAGCCAAAGTGTTTATACAGTATGTTCATAGAAGATTACGCTTTAAGATATTGTATTGGTAAAGAAACCAACACAAAATGGTATATAATGTTGTTTCTCTGCTCGTTTGACCCCAAGGTGTTGCATTAATGAAAATGTAGCATTGTTACTAGGATTTGATGTGTAGACTAGGATCTGTATCTTTGTGAATGTTCAGTTTGATCTCCATCACTGCTAACAGTGAGAGGGAAAATGTAGTTACTGTCAACAGAGATGTGATATGGGCGTCGCTTGAAGATGATAATATTTTGCCTGGAGCGGGCACTCTTAACGCCTTAAAGGTGAACTTTTTATGAAAATAAATCCTATCACGCCAAAAAGACCTGTTGTGATAGTGGACAATAATTTTGTATTGCCATGGTAATGACATCAGTTTGTGTTTAGTTTTTGAGTTTATCAGATAATGTGAAAGTCCACACACACAAGCTCCAATCATTCCCTCCCTCCCTCCCTCCCTCCCTCCTTCCCTCCCTCCCTCCCTCCCTCCCTCCCTCCCTCCCTCCCTCCCTCCTTCCCTCCCTCCCTCCCACTCCTCTTGCACAGTGTGTGTTTTCTGCATCGTGTCCCTGTGTGTGTGCTTGGATGCGGGCCACTGGCACATTTTGGGAGCGGATCAGGGCCCTGGCAGCTTTTTCTGCTAGCTCTGGAATTTGTGCGCCTGCGAGGACCCCTATCCATCACTACGCTGTCAGCCCCCCACCTCTTTCCCCCCTCCCTGGTCCCCCACCGCCCCCCTCACTCAACCCCACTACAGCTCATTAGAGCCTGCAAGGCGTTGTGACAACTCATCATATCATGAGATAAAGCATGGAGAGACGTGCGGGGCCCCCCAGGGGCCACTAGGTCACCACCTTCACATTAAGTCTTCAAATTGCCCTGCAAGGTGCCACCAGGCGGAAATGCAAGGCCAACAGCTTTTTCCTGTCCTGCTTTTCTCTCCAGGGTCGCTCTCGCTCTCTCTCACAATCTGTGTCCTCCTCCTCTTTGCTTCTGTCTCTCACAGGGCATCCTCTTGCAACTGTCATTCCCACATGCCTGTGGTGAAGCAGCTCAAAGAGTGATTTGTAAGAGTTTAAAAAAATGTTTGATTAGCCTAGTTTCCTCTTATTTATTTTAAGAAGTTTATAACTAGACTAATTGATAAGCAATATTGTAAAAACATAGTTATTGACTCAAATGTACCATTGTAATGTGAAATACCACTTGATAAAGGTCAGGCTTTATTTTCGGATCCAAAACCATGGTCAGTTGAACTATAAAGAAAGAGGGTACCTAACCAACTCTGTCAAGTTGTGTCCGCCCTACATTAGCCCCAGGACATGAGTGGCTGATGGGAAAGCCTAGGGGTCAGGGTTCGGACAATGATGCTGAGTGAGTGTGACACGGCCTCTCCGTGGCAACCAGAGAGCCTGCACACAAATACACAGGCCCTCTCTCCATCCACACAGCCCAGACACTAGTGAGGTCACCACCAGGGGTCAAGACCCTGATACTGTGGCTGTCACTCGCACAGAGGGGGTTCAGCGTACGCACACATACACTCATGTGAACACGCACGCTCTCACAGACACACTCACGCGAACTCTTCTCGAGGAAAAACATTTCTCTTTCTTGGCAGTGTGAATCTTTTTATATACAGTTGAAGTCGGAAGTTTACATACACTTAGGTTGGAGTCATTAAAACTCGTTTTTTCAACCACTGCACACATTTCTTTTTAACAAACTATAGATTTGGCAAGTCGGTTAAGACATCTACTTTGTGCATGACACAAGTCATTTTTCCAACCATTGTTTACAACAGATTATTTCACTTATAATTCACTGTATCACAATTCCAGTGGGTCAGAAGTTTACATACATTAAGTTGACTGTGCCTTTAAACAGCTTGGAAAATTCCAGAAAATGATGTCATGGCTTTAGAAGCTTCTGATAGGCTAATTGACATAATTTGAGTCAATTGGAGGTGTACCTGTGGATGTATTTCAACTCAGTGCCTCTTTGCTTGACATCATGGGAAAATCAAAAGAAATCAGCCTCCACAAGTCTGGTTCATCCTTGGGAGCAATTTCCAAACGCCTGAAGGTACGACGTTCATCTGTACAAACAATAGTACGCAAGTATAAACACCATGGGACCACGCAGCAGTCATACCGCTCAGGAAGGAGACGCGTTCTGTCTCCTAGAGATGAACATACTTTGGTGCGAAAAGTGCAAATCAGTCCCAGAACAACAGCAAAGGACCTTGTGAAGATGCTAGAGGAAACAGGTACAAAAGTATCTATATCCACAGTAAAACGAGTCCTCTATCGACATAACCTGAAAGGCCGCTCAGCAAGGAAGAAGCCACTGCTCCAAAACCGCCATAAAAAAGCCAGACTACGGTTTGCAACTGCACATGGGGACAAAGATTGTACTTTTTGGAGAAATGTCCTCTGGTCTGATTAAACAAAAATAGAACTGTTTGGCCATAATGACCATCGTTATGTTTGGAGGAAAAAGGGGGAGCTTGCAAGCCGAAGAACACCATCCCAACCTTGAGGCACAGGGGGTGGCAGCATCATGCTGTGGGGGTGCTTTGCTGCTGGAGGGACTGGTGCACTTCACAAAATAGATGGCATCATGAGGAAGGACAATTATGTGGATATATTGAAGCAACATCTCAAGACATCAGTCAGGAAGTTAAAGCTTGGTCGCAAATGGGTCTTCCAAATAGACAATGACCCCATGCATACTTCCAAAGTTGTGGCAAAATGGCTTAAGGACAACAAAGTCAAGGTATTGGAGTGGCCATCACAAAGCCCTGACCTCAATCCTATAGAAAATGTGTGGCCAGAACTGAAAAGGCGTGTGCGAGCAAGGAGGCCTACAAACCTGACTCAGTTACACCAGCTCTGTCAGGAGGAATGGGCCAAAATTCACCCAACTTATTGTGGGAAGCTTGTCCCAAGTTAAACAATTTAAAGGCAACGCTACCAAATACTAATTGAGTGTATGTAAACTTCTGACCTACTGGGAATGTGATGAAAGAAATAAAAGCTGAAATAAATAATTCTCTCTACTATTATTCTGATATTTCACATTCTTAAAATAAAGTGGTGATCCTAACTGACCTAAGACAGGGAAGTTTTACTAGGATTAAATGTCAGGAATTGTGAAAAACTGAGTTTAAATGTATTTGGCTAAGGTGTATGTAAACTTCTGACTTCAACTGTGTATATATATGTATTTATAAAGTAGGCTACTGTGTGTGTGTGTGTGTGTGTGTGTGCGGAGGTGCATGCACATGTCCTAGTACTACAGCTTTTCTGTAAAGGGTTTTGCCATTCAAAAGTTGGGATTGCTGCGGGACACTTTCTTTGAAATGTTTAATCAGGGTCAAGGAACAGTAGTGAATACAAATTCATACAATTGTGTGTTGGTTGTGTACTCGTTTGAGCGCGTGTGTGTGTACGCACATTCTTGAACAGCTCTCATGATTGGTCTCCTAGTATATTTCTGTCGATTGTAATGCTGAAAGTAGTGGGAGTGATGGCAACAGGGCCAGGAAGTCGGCTTTGCTCCTTCCTTTGTAGAGAAACAGAAAATACTCCCACGTAGTTCCTTTGTTTAGCATGTGTGCTTTGCATAATGCTCCACTTGTTTGAGGAGCTGTGTTGTGATTCCATCAGCACCTGTTGTCCGAGGGTGTTAAAAGCAGGTGCTGCACCGAGGCCTAATTTACACTGGGGCGGCAAGGCTTCATTTTAATGGAAGTTGTGTGTGTGTGTGTGTGTCACAGGAGGTTGGGGGCACCTTAATTGGGGAGGAAGGGCTCATGGTAATGGCTGGAGCGGAATAAGTGGAATGGTATCAAATACATCAAACACATGGTTTCCATGTGTAGGCTATATATATTTTCTGGAAGCTAAAATGTATTGTTGATTGAATAGATATGGTGTGAACCTAGCCTGTGTTTTCTGCAAAGGCCTGAACTTCAGGTGTGATTGGGCTCATATCGTAAAAAAAAATATCATCCCGCTTCTCTCCATGGCTGTTTCAATTAAGCTCTGTAAATGTGTTACAGTCCATATGGGCTCTGCACTGTAGGTGTTGGAATCTGGGATGGCTCACCTGTTCTCTCTGTGAGAGTGCAAAAGCTTAACTCATAGGCTTGTCAGGGAAGTCTGGACTACAGGGCATGTAGAGGTGTGTGAGTCAACTTGACCAAAATGGAAGCTGCAGAGAATCTTTCACTCTCACACCCCTCTCACTGCATGTAAGCATAGAATTGAGGCATTCTCCAGAGTTGTTTTAGAATAATTGCACTGAAAAACAATCATTAAAAATAATTAGGAATTCTTTAAACTCGATACAGACCAGCCTTCTCTGTAAGGCAGCAAACCTCCATTGCTTAAGATTTTTTCTCTCTATGGGTGACATTACACCTTCCTCTTTCCTCCTCCCTTCATGGGGTGGTTCTAATCCTCCCCTCAGTGACACAGAGAGAGGCTGGCCGCCACAGTAGCCAAACAGCAGTAGTGTCTGTATGGCCCAGAAGCCATAGAAACTGGAGCGCTTGTGTTGTCTATTATTTGCCTGGCTCGGCTCGACTCGGGGCTTCTGAAATGGAGGCCTGATAGCCCCAAAGTGTCTGTGATGTAAATCTCTTTCAATATCTCACTCACTCACTCACTCACTCACTCACTCACTCACACACACACACACACACACACACACACACACACACACACACACACACACACACACACACACACACACACACACACACACACACACACACACAGTTTCTCTCTCACAGCTTCTCTCTCTATTATGCTCAAACAGTCCTTCTCTCTCGCCCTCCCTCTCTCTCTCCATTCCTCACCCTCTCTCTTCTCTCTCTCTCTCAATGCAGACTCAGTGGATGGGCATTTTAAACTGTCTCTCAATGGAGACAAAATAACTAATTTAAATGACCTCTAAAGCCTTTCAGCACAGGGAGAATTGACAGCACAGCTCAGGAGTGAAGGCCGTTTGGGGCAGCCAGTGCATTTCGCTCAATGGCTACCTTGTCAGCTGTGTTTGGCAGCTGTCATCTCCCCAATCTTTTTTTGTATCCCTCCATTCAAGATTTTTAGATTAGATATGGGGACTGTGGGGAAGAAACATGTTGATTTGTGTCTTGTATTCATTTTAACGAGTCGTGTACCACAACCAACCACAACCAACCCCCCCTCCCTTCTTCTCTCACTCTCTCTCCTCCCTCTCTCCTCTCTCTCTCCAGTCTTTTGAGCTCAGGGCTGTGAATGAGTCCCCAGAGTCTCTCCATGTTTCCCAGTAGTTCTACTGGGTTCATTAATCTTTCATTGGGACCATGGCGGTGTGGAATGCCACCCCACTCCCTCCCTCCCTCCCTTTCTTCCTCCCTCCCCTTGCGCTACCCCTCCCCTCCCCTTCTCCTCTCCTCTCCTCTACTCTCTACCCCTCTCACAGCTCCACTGGAGGGGGGTGGGGGGGCTGGAAGGGTACTTTACCCACTCCAGCCTGGTACAGTTCAGTCCAGACCAATCTGGTAGTCAGTTACACAGAAATGTATCTCATACATTGGTCACAGTAGGTTCAGCCTATGGAGATGATGGATTTTCAGCATTAAGTGCTGCTTACATGTGTCTTGCCTAGGGCCCTCAGCTTTGCATTTGTATAGTTAAATGAGCATAGAGTCCATGCATTATCCCTCCCTCCCTCTTACCACTTTAATGCCTTTAAAAGTCTATTGGAAAATTGCCACCGCCAGGTTTTGGGTTGGTGCCTCGCCATGGTTAGGGCTGCTAATGAGTGTGTTTGGACTGTAAGAGTACAAATTGAACATTACCCACACCCCCATTGCCCCTACTCCTTCCCTCTCTACACAGACACACACACACACACACACACACACACACACACACCAGCTAGCTCACTCTCCTTTTCCCCAGCACACATCAGCCATGTTACCACAAGCCTGATTAGTGATGCCTCTTTGACTGCCGAGGGACAGAATATGAGTTGAAGAGCAAGACCAGCTCACCGCCAGTGGTTTAAACCAGAACACTAATCTGGTTACTGTGTGCGTGCGTGTGTGTGTGTGTGAGTGCGTGCGCGCGTGCCTGGAGAAGTGGGCTGAGCTCTGGTTAACATGAGGCCCATGACGGAGCACCCCTCAGCTTAACAGTAATCTTTGGGTAATTGAAAAAGGGGCCTGCGCCACTTAGGAGCACAAAGAGCAGATTACATAGCTAAAATTAATTTGGCAAAAATGTAGAAATGGATTTTCTCCCCTCTTTTATTACAATGCCCCGCTATCCTCTTTACCTCCCCTCCTCCTCTACCCCCTCCTAAAACAGACCCTGGGGGGACAGAGAGGGGAGGGGTAGGGAGGTATATAGCAGAGGGAGGAGAGGGAATCAGTAGGGTAAAGCACTAAGTGAGGGGTTGGATGGTAGAGGATTGCTGACTGTTGTTATAATGGGTGTGGATTTTACACATTTGGTGGTTTGCACATGATCGATCTACCCCCCAGTAAGAGGCCCCCTTGTCATGCAGCCCCAGTCCAAAACTAAAATGACAGCCGTGCGTCTGAGATAGTATTACTGAGTCGCAGAGTGTCGCCGCAGAAGTGTTCTTAATTACCAAGCACACTATTTTCACTCTGCTCTGGCGGTTTGGGGCTCCGAGGGGGTCGATCATTTGATAGCTCTCGTTTTTCAAGAGCTTTCTGAGCGATGTTGTAACTCTACTGCCGGCGCCTGCAATCTCTAGCCCTAACTCTTCTTTTGTTTTATTTTCTACCCCTCTCTCCTCCTCCTCTCTCTCCCTCTCTTTATAGTCTAATAAGGTCCCAGTGGTACAGCACCCTCACCACGTGCACCCGCTCACGCCTCTGATCACCTACAGCAATGAGCACTTCACACCGGGCAACCCCCCTCCGCACCTACAGGGAGACGTGGACCCCAAAACAGGTAAGACAGAGAACATACACACTACACTACGCTACACTGTTGCCCCGTTGGGAAACATGGTTGGGAAATGGTTAACACTCCAGCCACTGTTCCAAAGAAACACAGTCCTCAAATCCAAATAGTGATAGTCCAGCGACTAACATACAACAGAACACAGAATAATTCTTATTGTTGTCGACATACAAAGGCTACCACTGCTGCCTATGCAACCACACACACACACACACACACACACACACTCTCTCTCTCTCTCTCTCTCTCTCTCTCTCTCTCTCTCTCTCACACACACACACACACACACACACACACACACACACACACACACACTCTCTCTCTCTCTCTCTCTCTCACACACACACACACACACACACACACACACACACACACACTCTCTCTCTCTCACACACACACACACACACATCTGCCTGATCAAATATAGTTTTATTTAAGGAAGATATAGCCCTTACAAAGCACAACATTGCAGGGCCTGCTTTCTCTGACCAGGTGTGAGGTATTTTAGGGCAGACAACAGTCACAGCTACTCAGACAGAAAGCTTCTCTCTCCTTATGGGCTCCCGAGTGGCGCTGCGGTCTAAGGCACTGCATCTCAGCGCTTGAGGCGTCACTACAGACCCCCTGGTTCGAATCCAGGCTGTATCACAACCGGCCGTGATTGGGAGTCCCATAGGGCAGCGCACAATTGGCCCAGCGTCGTCCGGGTTTTGCCGGTGTAGGCCGTCATTGTAAATAAGAATTTGTTCTTAACTGACTTGCCTAGTTAAATAAAGGTAAAAAAAAAAATGGTATGGCTGTGCTATTGTGTCTTGCAGAAGTAATCCTGTTGATTTTGCTCTGGCAGGGAAGGGAGGGTCACTATTTCATCTCTCCTCTGACAATACAGGAGGAGGTGTGTGTGACACACACACACACACACACACACACACACACACACACACACCACACACCACACACCACACACCACACACACACACACACCACAGCATGCGACCCATCCATCTGACTGAATTTAAATGTAGCATTCCTTCATTTTAAATGTCCACCTGCAATAAACATTTTGACCTAGTAGGTCAACTCACTTTCAATATGTGTACATAATATTGAGTTAATATTGAATAGCTTTGAAGGGTCTCTGGTTGTTTTGTTGGGGTTTTGTACTCACAAAGGGGTGATAACGACCCAGCTGCTGTTTAATGTGCCAGTTAATGGTGCTGCTTAATTGAGTGTAGTGTTTAATTAATTAACAAGCTATATTAAGACTTCAGCACTGGATGGCAATGCAGAGCAACGTTAGAAACTCTTTCCTCTGAAGAGTGTGTCAGTCAGTGCCATTATGTCTATAGAACTAGGGCTTACAACATTTTTGAAACCCTCCTCAGCTACAAATGTGTAATTAATGATCCCTAAAAAATTTCTCAATTAGTTCGGCATCAGTTTTGAGAGACAAACCCCAGTGTGGGTGTGTCTGCTTCTTGGATGCACAAAATGTTCCTTAGACACCTGTCACTGAACAATGTCTATGGAAACCTTCCCATGCGGCTGATTTTCACATACCTGGCTCGGCCTTGTGGCTTTGGGTGTAACACACACCAGCAACACACCGGCTGTGGACAGATTCATGGGGCCAGGGTTAGTTCTGCAGTCCTCTTCATCTGGGTCCACTGTGGCCATATCGGCACCAGCCAGAACAAAAACTGCTCCACAGCTGCACCGATATGCAGGCCAGGCAGGACCACTGTGAAAGAATGCACCAGAGCAAATAAAAGTCCCTCCGCTGCGCTGTTAGCCAGTGGAACTCAAACACTTCCTTGTCACGTTTTAACGCTCAACACTAGAAAAATGGAAAAGCCATCATTTCTTTGCTTTCACCATTTCTCTTTTTTTTTTTATGACAGACCTTTGGAGGGTTAATGTTTTGGGTGGCTGGTCTGCATGTTTTATTTGCCTGTCAGCTGCCACAGTAAGTGATTGCGACATTGGCAAATGTGTGATTGTTTTGCAGTGCCCTCTGTAGGACATCTCTGTCGCTGTGCATCAGATGGGAAAACTACATAATTTCTGTCTCTTTGTTAAAAACATTAGGATGAATAGTGGAACATGAAACCAATTCTGGTAAAAAATAATCTGGAAACCAAGGGCCCCTATTTATAAGAGCTACTTTACAATGTCATAAGCATGTCATAATAGATGTTATAGAAAGTTATAAATCAAATCAAATGTTATTGGTCACATACACATATTTAGCAGATGTTATTGCGGGTGTAGCGAAATGCTTGTAAGAGCCTATGTCAGTTGAAGACAGCTAGGCTAATACAACACTGTCATGTCACCCAGTATATTGGGTAAGCCGACTAGCTATGAAACAAGCTGGTCATTAATAACTTGCAGTGACTGTTTATAACATCACTTCATTCATGCTTATGACAGTAAGATAACTTGGGTTTATATGAAGTCAAACCCTGTTTATCCCCCCCCCCCCTCTCTCTTTCTCTCTGTCTCTCAACACGTTATGACACCTTACCGCCAGACTCAAACAGCTTTGATCAGGACGTGTGATTTAGCACTGTGTACATGTGAGCGCATCCGCTCTTCCTCCTCCTCCTCTCTACCCTCCCAGCTTCCTGTGATGTCGACTCTGTTCATTATGAAACTCACAAAGGATGAGTTTAACCCTGACTGATATTTCGGTGTCCATCCCTCTCTTCCTCTTTATTTGTCCCTCTACCCTTTCTATCTTTCTCTCCAGGAATTCCAAGGCCTCCACAACACCCAGACATATCTCCCTATTACCCTCTCTCGCCTGGCTCTGTAGGCCAGCTCCCCCATCCGCTAGGATGGTTAGTACCACAGTAAGCAACATTTTATGACCTTCTTTCTCCACTGTCATCAAGCATGTTTTATTGCTCCAAGCATGTGCTGGTTACAATGTTTATAACTATGTCTAGATGTAGATCTATTTAGTGGTTTGGAGCATTAAGTTCTGTATATAAAATCAGCATCCCTAATGTAGATTATATAATGTCAAATAGTTCTCCATCAGAGGCAATGTCTTCTGGTTTTGTTGTGGGAGGAGAACTTGATTTCTGTATTTTCCTGTCTGGTAACATCATAAGCAGAGCACAGGGAAAGCTCTATATCCACTTATCTCAAACTGGGCCCTCTCAGTTTGGATCAAGCACTGATTTGACTCCTGGCTGACCACAGTGCAGAGAGGAGGGCTAAGTCCCCCTCTCCACTGGAGTCTCCAGTTTATACATTCAGGCAATGGACTGACTCCTGGGCCACAGAAGCACACTGCGGTTTCCTAACCCCCCCCCCCAACACCAACTTGCTTCTTTGTGGCGAATGCTATTTTGCATTTCTCTGTATTGTCCAATTAGATTAATGAACCGTGATTGCCCGTATTTTACCCACAATTCCACATGGGGGCTCTCCCCTGGTAACTCTTGTCAACACTTGTTAATATGACAACAGGCTACAAATTAAGCTCTGTTAATTTAATGTTTTCTCACCGCGATCTAAATACCGGAAAAGGCCCCGAGCGCAGCCACGGCACCCTTTGATTTGCTGCACTTTATTTTGGTATAAATTTACATTCATTATTGTTTGTCTTTGGATGTGTAGACCTCAATTAGCGTGATGGCTCCATTAAAGAGTCCCGCGCTTCGTCTTTAATTATCACAACAAAACACCTAGTTCCAGCTCGGGGAGGAAGTGGCTCCCTCTCCGTCGACACCGAGCGAAGGGTTATGAAATTTAATTAGCCATTCCTAACAGATTTGTGGCATTCAAATTGTTCGGAGTTTGCCTCTCCTTTGATCCGCACTCTGCAATCCCCTAGATTTTAGTCCTGATCAAATGAGAATAAAGAGACCTGCGATCGGGGAGAGAGGGAGAGGGCTTTACCTCCTCTCCTTCCATCAACCCTGTTTCTTTACCTCCCTCTCTTCTCTTTGTTCCTTTTCCTTCTCCTAGGCAAGGTCAACCTGTTTACCCAATCACGACGGGGGGTTTTAGACATCCCTACCCGACTGCACTCACTGTCAACGCATCCATGCAAAGGTGAGTTGAGCCTTGGGAGATAAACACACACACACACCCAGACACAGGAGGAGGCCACGACGTGGGTGCATACCCAGGCGTCACACACAGTACTGTGTAAACTTCTCCCTTAAGGAGAGTGCACACACTCGTCTCTGTGCTCAAAAGGCCGATCCTCCAGTGTCCCCCACTATGTGTTGAAAATTAATTATATTTATCACTATCTAATGAGAACCCTGAAGAACATTTACCCTAGCTGCATGTCAGCCTCGTCTGTAATGGACGGGGCATGTCCTAGTTTTTAGCAACCAGACACATTGATAAATAAACATGTAGACACTTAAAAGGAGAGGATGATGTAGACTGGGGCTTGACACTTGGCTAATGCTTTGTTGGGCCCATTAGAGTCCAGCTCAAGAGGAGAGCTAAGGACACAAGTGGACCCGGAGGGGCATATATGTTTGTTGTTGTTGTGTTATGTGTTTTTAACTGGGCATGGCTTCCCCGGGGGCTGTGCTATAATACTCTGTATTGTGTGGGAAGTGGGAAGAGTTAACTGTGGATGACAAGTACCCCATGATTTGTAGGTTCGGAGTCTTTTCGAAAAACGACAACAACAACAAAAAGAAACAATTCCATATGGCCGCCCCTCCCTTTTCCCCTGTCCGCCTCCCCGAGCCTAGAGCAGTATTCACAGGCGTTTCAGTGCAGGCAGCTGGAGAGTTTGGAACGGGGATGGTTTATAGATTGGAGGGGAGGGGGTGAGAGGCAGAGGCCTAGGGAGCCTGGGGAACAGGCCAAGCTTCAGTTTAATTACATGCTGATTGGAAAAGCAGCTCTTGAGAGTAGACTGTTCAGACCTCTGTGACGTTGATGGATAAGTGTGAGCGAAGGAGGAAAGGAGAGAGAATGCAAAGGTAGGGAAGAAGAGAGAGGGAGCCCTCGAATGGGGTATGGAAAGATTCATGTTGTGAAATAGTACCTCACACCCTTAGCACTTTGGCATTGAACACGTGTGCACTCGGGTTCCTTATTCCACCCCCCCCCCCCCCCCCCCCCCCCTCTCTCACACATACACGCACACTCTGACATGGCCTCTTGAACACTCCTTTTAATTACAAGCAGAAAAGCACATTCACTTCACACTTTCTGTTAAAAAGAGAGGCTATGTGAGCCATCAGCTCTTTGTTTGTCCTTTTTTCTTGGTTAGCCTTACATTCACATGTATTCTTAATTAATACACATTACCTACATACTTAGGTTGATAGTTTCTATCATTGTTGGCCACACCTTGATCCAGACTCCCTCCTGGCTTTAGGAACAGACCCAACCACCTTCACAGTTCACTGTGGCACAGCCTTGTTTTCCATATGTGGGTGTCATCTGTATAACAGGGTTAAGATGGTGCTCATTTCTCATCTCTATCCCTATTGGGTCCCTCTTCCACTCCTAGTGACCCCCGTAAAGCAGACCTTGCCCCCCCCCTCTCCCCATCCTAGCCCAGCCCTGGTTGCCCTGCTCTCGGGTACAGCTGGTAGAGCGCAGGCAGCCAGACTAACCAGGACCTGGCAGCATCTAGTGGACCTGTGTTTTAAGTGACAGCTAATTCACCCCTAATGACGGCCTCTACATTGTGATCATCTTATTTCCAGCAAGGCTAATTGAATCTGCTGGATGGGGGCTAGGGGGATTGGCTGGGCTGTGGGGCTGGGGAGAGCTAATGCGTTCTGATGAGCCCTAATTGAATTAGCATAGCTGTTTAGGTGGAGGTCTCCATCTCTCTGGAGAAAGGGGCTTTAGCATGTCCTTGTTAAAACTGCCACTGGAGATTTGACCCCAAAAAAAGATGTCCGATTGGGTTGTCGACGGCGTAGAGAAATGGCACAGGGTGGAAAGGTTTGGATAATCGTGTATATGACAGGGTTTCGGAAGCAAAAAATGAAAACAAATTTTGAGAATTGTCTCTTGGCTTTAAAAGGGCTTTTCTTTCTTAAATATGCCACAAGACATCCAGTAGTTATAAAGTCCAGTCCATGTCTAATAACTACATTGAGATGTCCTGATCCTGTATTTCACTGGCTAGACAGATCTTAACAAGAGATCTAGTGCTTCAGTACTAGCCCCTAGTGCCACATACCGGCCCAATTAGGATGCAGAGAGCAAGTCTGGCTCTCATACCTTGCACCCACTCAATGAGCACCTTATACCTAGGTCCTGTTAAAAAATACATTCTCTGGAAGGGAAAAAAGGCAGGCGAGAGAGAAAAGAGTCAGTCGACGGAGCAAATGAGAGACATTATTTTGATAATGGGGTTGGAACTGTACAGGTCCATTATCTCTGGCGGGCCTGTGTGTGACAGGTGGGAAGAAGTGTAAACCCCTCGCCCCCTGCCTAACCCCTGCGCTTTGATATGTTCCCCCCTCATCCCGCTCTCTCCCATCCTCCCTCGCTACCCCTCTCTTTTTCCTGCGGAAGGGAAAGTACGCTGGCCGAGTCAATATACTGTACATTAACCAGGCATAGGGGTACTTCCTCACATTGGCAATTAAATGGCACTGGCTGACACTGGGCCTGCATTGCAGCCAATGACCCACCCCCATCCTTGCCTTTCAGATTGAGACGTAGGAGCCTGGGGGTTGTTCTGTTCTGTGCTGATGAGGCAAGATGATGATGCCCCGCACATCAAAGGGATGGCCATCATGTTTAAACCATAACCTGGGCCGCGCGGTGGCAGCTGGGGGGAGGAAGGGGAGGGAAGGCGAGGGAGGGGGAGTGTGGAGGTGGTGAGGGGACAGGGAGCAGGAGGAGGAGGAGTGTAGAGAAGGAAGAAGAGAACAAAATGGGATGCTGGAACAGAGGAAACTTAACAAGAGCACCGAGAGAGAGAGGGAAGGAAGGAAAGAGGGAGAGGAAGAGGAAGAGACAGAGTAGAGGAAGTGTGGCGGCCTAATGATGGGTGATCTGCAGCCACTGCCGCGGTCCCCTCAGCAGATGACATGGCGCAAACACAAACATGTCAATGATGAAGGGAAGAGAGAAAAGCAGTGGAGGAGAGCGAGGGAGGAGGGAGAGAACCCACACACTCCCCAGAGATCGCCTGCAACAAAAACGAGTTGTTCCTGGCGACTTTATGCTCATCATTATATTCTGGCTCCGAGCCATGCAGCCAGACATAGCCAGATAATGAGCTGTTTAAAAAAAGAAGGAATGATTCCTCCTTTTTTCCCCTCCTTCATCCTCCCCTCTTTTTCTATGATTTGTGAACGGTCATGCATAGCTGAGATATATATATACTGTACACACACAGACACACTCATACAAATAATCTTACACACACATTTATTCTCTCTCTCTCACACACACACACACACATTGCTCTGTGAAGTGAATCCATAGATGCGGGTTATTGCCCTCAATCAGTGTAGCTGTGGGAGATGATGAAATGATTCTACCAGTGTAATGAAGATGTTGAGGGGGAGATAAAGGATGATAACACCATGAATAATCTGATCTAGCATGAGGCTAGATAGAATAGGCCTAGGCCTAACACAGTGATGCACAGAAAAAGGTGCCTTGCCAATGGTTAAAGCTACTGTGAAATAAAGATGTTTTAACATTACCTCAGTATTGACATCAGCTAACACAACGGATTGGCACGAGACTCCATAGACCTGTAGTTGGTCACATTGTAAAGGGGGCAAGACATCCTGGGACCTGTATTTGTCATCCACAGTCCAGAGAGAGGGGTGGCAGCAATAAACACTGAATTGGAGCCAAGTCACTATTTTGTCTCCGTTATAGAAGCAAGTGAGGACTTTTTAGAACTCATTACAAGGACACATGTAGCTGAAGTGTCTGTATGGACCATTTTGGCTTCTCAAAGAATAACCTTCAGTGCAATGGGAGCCCTGTCTTTCCATTTAACTCTCTTCCCACTCAAACACAAAACGGCTCTCTTTTTTTAAATGAATATACTATATGAAATATGACTCATTATGATGTGTTTACTGTGTAACTGTTTCTATGTGATTGTGAGATCTAAATTCTGTGATACTTATGGGCCGAATCCTTTCTTGATATACGTGTGCGAAACTCAAGCTTTTGTGTAAGTCATGCATTGGATGTCAATGAGAGATTTGCGTGGAAATCTGACTTTCATGCTCGGACCTCAAGGTAGGATTCGGCCCTATATATGCACGTCTGTATGAATGTCGATTGAGCATATTCTGTCTATGTGTCCATCTTCCATTTCACACGTGTCCACTCTGACGATTTACACAGTTTTCTGTCCTCCAGGTTCCCTCACCACATGGTCCCGCCTCACCACAGTTTGCACCAGACCGGCATCCCCCACCCCGCCATCGTCACGCCCAACGTCAAGCAGGAGTCCTCCCACAGCGACATAGGCCTCAACAGCTCGTGAGTACACACACCTGCACACACACACACCTGGTTGTTTTCACCATTGTAAACGAAACAGCAGTATAGTCAAAATTGGCACTGGTATTGTTGTTCTAAATTCTACCATTACAATAAGCTGTTTAATACCAATTCTGGGTATTTGCCAACCATACAGTACTATACTGTACACACTCCACAGGAAACACCAGGACTCCAAAAAGGAAGAGGAGAAGAAGAAGCAGCCCCACATCAAGAAGCCGCTGAACGCATTCATGCTCTACATGAAGGAGATGAGGGCCAAGGTCGTGGCCGAGTGCACGTTGAAAGAGAGCGCCGCCATCAACCAGATCCTGGGACGAAGGGTGAGAGAGAGACAGCACTGCTGTAGACACAGAGGCTCACTCGCTATACAGCTACAGCTACAGCTTGGTAACTCCCTGTACAAGGGACTATGAATGGGGAAGGTATCCATCACACAGATATCCACCGCACACACACAATGTGTGGTTTAGTTGACTATAGGCCTGCTACTGGGTCTGGGAGACAAAGGCAACCTGTCTTATTTTGTCTCTACCTCTCACTGCTCTTGGCTGAAGACGGTCATATTTACTGTTGACAACTATATATATTATAGTCTTCTCGCCTTGCACTCATCTCTTTGTATTATGTCCTGTCCCCCTCTCATCCCCTCCCTCTCTCTTTTTCTGTGTGTCTGTCTGTAGTGGCACGCCCTAACACGAGAGGAGCAGGCGAAATACTACGAGCTGGCCAGGAAAGAGCGACAGCTTCACATGCAGCTCTACCCCGGCTGGTCAGCACGAGATAACTATGTAAGTTTTTAAGTTTTCAACACGTACATCCTGTACTTCTCCCCTCACAAGGACATGTGCCTGGGATGAGTGCTCATACTGTTCTGTCTGAGCTGAGAGCTCACCTCACTAGCCAATGCCTGCTGACTGTTGCCCTAAACACCTTAGTCGATGGAATCTCCTATATACTTAAAAGCCCTGAAATGCTGATGCTGCAGGAAGTTTCTCTCCCAGCGTTGGTGTGTGTCCAGCAGTGCAGGGCTCATCATACACCCCTGCAAGGGTCAGGTTGACCAGTGAAACTCTGACCCCTCTCAGCCTACCCAAAGCATTGTGCACAAATCTGACTCCCTCACTAGAAACCAACAAAGCCTCTACATAAAATACAACAAAAGAAAAGAGAAAAAAAAAAAGTACAAAAAGGGAGAAGGGAAAATTCTGTTATGGCCTGCAGTGGCAGTTAAAACCGGCGGGCAGAGAAAGAGAGAATGAATGAATAAATAAACAGAGAGATGGGCCCCGTTTCTATTTCATGTCTCGGGTCTTCTGCAATATAATAACTAAGGTTCCTGTCTATTTCTCTTCTTTTGGCGGGTAACCAACAGGGCAAGAAGAAGAAGAGAAAAAGGGATAAGCAGCCAGGAGAGGGCAATGGTAAGTGAGCAGCAATTATCTCCTATTAGAGGAGCCCCATCATGTGTCAGGACTGTGTGACATCTCACAAGATAAAAGTCTAGCCTGTTTTTTTCCTCTACTGCTTTTTTTCTTTTTGTGTTGTTGTGCCTGGCTCGTTTTTTTTTTGGTAGACTTGCTTGTTCGCTCCCTCCTTCCATTCCCCATCCCCTCCCCTAGCCTTCCCCAGCTAATAACGTTGAATATGCATGACACCCCCCTCCCCAGCCTCACCCCTCCCCCCTCTCCTCCCTCCCTCCCCACCAACATCTCCCCTCTCCACTTTGCCCCCCAGCATTTATGATACTGTGATATGTGTTTTGAGAATGTGAAATTTAAGCGTTGTGAGAGCCATTAACTTTGCCAGTGTTGTGTGTGTCTGTGTGTTATAATGCCTGTGCCCTCTGGATAGACTGTGTGTGTGTGTGTGTGTGTGTGTGTGTGTGTGTGTGTGTGTGTGTCTGTAACTTGGGCTGCCCCTGCTTGTCTGCATGCATGCTTTTAATCGCACACAAACAAACAAAATCACCCACATCTTAAAATTAAGGAGGTTTGCTAATTCTATTATTTATTCATTTTATATTCTTATTCTTCATATTCTTCTGATAATCCATATTGTGAGTTGAGAAGGAGAAATGCGGCATATTAAACTGTATTTTACGCTCGTTTACGTCACGGATCCCCTCTTGAAGGCCTCTCTATCTGTTCTTTTTTTCAGAACACAGAGAATATTTTCCAAACCCTTGCCTTTCACTCCCTCCGATTACAGGTGCTAATGTCATTTTGAGTCTTAAATTACTAACTTGTTTTTTTTTTCTCGTTTTGGTTTATCATGTATTTATTGATCTATGTATATTATATTTCAAATTAATTTTACTAAGCTAAATGCAATCTTTTTAAGGATGTTATGTGCTTTGTTTGCTGCTTTCTTTCTTAAAAATGTGCTTATGTTTATTTATTTTACCATTTTATTTGTTATACTAGCAAAAGTATGTTTTATTTGATGTACTTACACATTTATTTAATGATGCTTCTATGTTAAAGTCATTCATTCTAGAACAATCTTCCCCATTTGGCCAAATCAATATGTAGTATATATTTCTAGCGGTGACTGTTAAAGTTAGAGAATCTTAATGTTGAGTTATGACCCAGAGATTTGATGTCAGTCAGGGTAAACCTCCTTAATCTATTTGCTTCAGTAGCTGCGTGTGTTCCTTTCCCTGGGCCAGCATGAGTTGGGCCTATTCCCCTTCTATGCTGTCTAAGGCCTGGATTCAAACCACTCACCATAGGATTCCTATTTTGACCCAAGTGTAATTTTGCTCTACATTTGATTATTAAGCCATTATGGCTGCGTTTACACAGGTGGCCCAATTCTGATAATCTTTCCACTAATTGGTCTTTTGACCACATCAGATCTTTTCACATCAGATCTTTTTCAGAGCTGATCTGATTGGTCAAATGACCAATTGGGCTGTCTGTGTAGAGCCTATGGTAGAGTTCTCGAAGATGACACAACAAATTGGAAAGGAAAGCTTTGTGTCAGGTGATTGAATTCAGGTCCAAGTAGAAGTGCCCTTGCTGCATTCACTAGGGTTCAACCCTTTAATGCTTTCCCTGGCTGGGACTAACCCGAACCTTCCCTTATCTTAACAGTCTGATACTGCTGCCTCTTCCTACCTACCACCTATACCCGCTCCTTTTCAAATATGCTATTAAAAAAGATAACTATGAATGGCACTTAGCAGAAATGTAATTAAGTCTGCATTATTTTCCCCATCATATTCTCCTCAAACAAATACGTATTATATTTTTATTAGCTTTAGCTTTTAGCTTTTTTTTCGACTTAATCCTTGCACATTTATGCATTTGTTTACTTTTTGCTTGTGGTTTGATTTTACTTAAACTGTGTCTTCTGACAGTCCTTTTCTGTAAAGGCATACTGCACAATTACTTGCATCTTTTTAATTAGAGGGGGGGGGGGGGGTGAATAAGCTAAATATTCCACGTTTTCGAGCCTCACTGGTTTACGGTTTTTCTCCTTTATTTCTCTCCTCTTTCTCTTCCCCCCTTTTTGGGTTTTCTTCCTCCTCTCTGCTGGCTTTCCTCCCTGTTGTGGCATCAGACCTGAGTGCTCCTAAGAAGTGTCGAGCGCGCTTTGGGCTCGATCAGCAGAATAACTGGTGTGGCCCGTGCAGGTGTGTATGCTGTGTGTGGCATGAACGCCGGGGCCAGGTGACGGCTGTTCTCTGAGCTGGGACTTCCTCCTTCCCTCCCCGACTCCCTCTCTCCTTCCTTCGCCAGGCTTTCGCCATCTCCCAATTCTTCCTCCTACCCAGCCCTGCCAGTTTGGCCTGCCTCTATCCTCTAGTTTTATTGGTGTTTGGGAACAGGGTTAACAGGGTATACGTTAATGTGTGTGCGGGTGTTTGTGTGAATGGTGTTTGTACATAAGTCTAGATTCGAAACATATAGATGTGGGGTTGGGTGGGTCCTATAGGTGGTATTCTCTTTAGGAATTAGCCATAATGAGGGGCAGGACTCATCAGATGGCAGACTGGGTCTGAGAGGAGTTGGAGACGCGATGGCCTGGTCTGTGTGGAGGAAGTCCCAGTGTTGACAGCCCAAACCTAAGCCCTGCCTACATGTGTTGTCTGTCCAATGACGTGTCCATTTTCTGTGTTTTTGTATTGTTTGTGTGTCTACCTCTTTGGCTAACAGATGCAAATACCCCAAAGAAGTGTCGTGCCTTGTTCGGGCTTGACCAGCTGAGTTTATGGTGCAAACCATGCAGGTATACCCCTGTAGTATCTATGGGAGGACAACCATATAGACAACCACTTCCTTCTCTTATACCTTCTCAAGACATCCCTCTAAAATATATGTATTATGTTTTCTTCAATGTGTTAATTGATGGCCTTCTTTTATCTGTTCCTTTTCCTGATTGTGGAATTTTTTGTAATAGCTTCTCATAGCAAGTCATTTTACTTATTTTCTTTGAAAACTAGAAGCCCAGTGGCAGAAAATGGATTTACTAGCATTGTTATTTGTATACTACCTTGGCAATAACATTGTAAAGATTGTAAACAATCAAATTTAGGAGACCTTTGGGTATTGTTGCTGTAATGTAATTTAAAAAAAACACATTTATGGTTTATGATACTATTCTTGTTGAAAGGTTGAAATCCATTTTCTATCCAGGCTGTATGTAAGTGCCTGACATCCTAACTGTCTAAAGTGTCTGTCTGAATTGGCCCTCTTGATAACCTTGTTATGCTAAGACTTGGCCCTGCTTCTCAGAGGGCACCAGAGTGACTTTCTTCTATGCCCTCTTCCTCCTCCTCCTCTTCTTCCTCCAAACTCCTCTCTGATAACCCTTACTTAGTCCCTACATGTTGTCTTTCTGTTCTGACACAAGCAGTCTTTGAATTGGGAATATTTTCATGGTAGGTATTTGTTTCTGCTAAGTAATATCCCTCTCTGTGTCTGGCTTGCACTGTGTCCCCACCTCTACCCTGACCATTGTGACATGACGTTTGGTACTATGTATCACTGGTCAACCCAAGGCATGCGATCAATACATTTCATTTTTCTTATTTTGTTTTCAATATTGATCTGTAGTTATTACTCCAGAAAGATTTCTGGGATTTTGTCATTGCCTCAAAGAAAACAGCTCATAAGATATTGAGTGATCTTACCAAGTCACTTTTCCCCTCACATTTTATGAGCGGTTATAAACGTTGAATTCATATGGCATCCAATTAAAGTAATCCACAAAGCCGTTCAAACAGCTGAACTCTCTTAGAAATGCTCCACACTCAGTTTCAACAGTAACAAGTACTGTTACAGTAGATTTAAATTAAGACATACACAGTTGATCACATTGATAAAGAGATTCTATTCTCACAGTATTTCCTGATCTAGTCCATGAACGTTCTGGGTAGATGATGAGGGAGGCAGCAGCGGGTTGCCTGAGGACCAGGTTTGGGAATAGCCAGGGATAATTCCTGCTTCGTTTAAGGAGCCGAGAGGTTAACAGACCTCACTGGGCCCCATTTCCTGAAAGATGCATCTGGCGTAATTCCCCTGGAGACGGGGAAATCAATATGTTACACAGGCACATACTATCAATCGATATGTCTGTTTAAAAAATGGATATTAGCTCATTTGTAGTGGTTTGACAGGCAGTTATCAGTTTAGCCCTGACAGAGGAAGAGACACAGCCTAGCACTGGCAGAATAATAGCATTTTACACTGGTAGCTAACACTCAATACCACACAATACTCATACAGGGTCTTTGACAGCCAAGCAGACAACTCAACCCAACTCCCTTTCCTTGCTTTTCAGTTTAGATTTCCCTGTGGTTTACTCTTTCTTGTGTGTCCATGTTGTGTGCTTGTCCTCTTTGTGTAGTTGTTCAATCACAGAAGTGCTTGCCGTTTTGTTCAGCATGCTATCAGTGTAAGGTATATGTGGCTGTCCAAATGTCTGCTTTTCTTTCCCCACTCTCCCTTTCTCTTCATTCCTCTGTCTTATGAGTTCTCACTGATCAATCTCCCTCTCTTTTTTCCATCTCTTTCTCTCTCACACACTATTTGTGTGAACCTGTTACCTGCAGAAGTACAGGCAGGGTATGACTTGACAAACAGGCCATACCTTGATTGAACATAGAACAGAGATGCTGATATTTCTCAAAGGCTAGCTGAACCAAAGCATCATTTCTATCAGTCACTTCTGCCCTTCTCCCTCCCTCCCCACCTCTGAATTCTGTTCTTTCTCCTTCTTGCTCATTGTCCCTGTGAGCTAGCAACACAGTCTGAACCGCAGTGTATTTGCCTTTCAGGCAAGCACAGACCTTGTGATAAGGAGTTGTTGTAGAGGTCATGGTAAGACGAGGTGGGCAGAGGCTCCCCCTCCCTCCATCCTTCCCTCCCCCCACACCAACTGAACATAGCACACACACAGCCATCTCAGAGACAAACACACACACACACGCTGCAGGCGTGCCAGACGGGAGGGTCCAAACCCGAGCAGAAATGCAAACATGACGCCGTGACCCTTCATACACACACATATGTCTTAGGGGCAGGTGCAGCGTAGTGTGGAATCCCCTGAACTCTTACCTCTGCATCCAAACTCTCCCCCCTAAGGAAAGGAGAGAGAGAGAGAGAGAGGTCAGGATAGTGCAGGGAAGTGAGGAGGGAGGAGAGAGGGAGGGAGGACTAGTATTTCAGAAGAGCAGGGTGATCCCTGGCGGTAGCTCTTCACCAGGGCCAGCTCTTTGTTTCAGTCAAGATCAGAAGTCTGTGAGGAAACGTTTGAGAAAAAATAAGAAACCCACACACTGCTCTTTAAGAAGCTTTACGTATTGGCCTCGGCCTTCGTCAGAGCTTTTGTGAGATTTAAAATACGTTTTAAAAGATGAGAAAAATAACAACAGAAAAGGGAGCTGTTATAGATTTGCCATGAAAACCAGTCTTCATCCTTCTTTATTCTTCATCCATTTCATCCATCATTTTCATCATCCTGCTGCTTCTCCTATTTCATTATCCTGTCTGTCTGTTTGGTGTACTGTATTGTACTGTATATGTCCTGGGAATCTGAGAAGGCCACCTGTAGCCTTAATCCTCAGCCGGGCTGTAGTGGTGGCAACCACTTAAATGCACCAGAAAACAACAATAATTTAAGGCCCAGAAATAGGTTTTAGATTGTATCTTTAAGACACTGATGGTATGCATAATGCAAATGAAACAAGATGGTGCATTTAAGTTGACTGCTAAGGCTCAGCTATTGCCCAGCAGATTGTTGTCAGTTCTGGGATGTCATGCTAAAAAGCGGATTTCTCTGTCCCCCATCTCCAGGAGAAAAAAAAAGTGCATTCGCTACATCCAAGGTGAAGGCAGCTGTGCCAGTCCTCCCTCTTCGGACGGAAGCTTACTAGACTCCCTCCCACCCTCCCCCTCCTCGGTGGCCCCCTCCCCCTCCTCGAAAGAGTCCAAACCTCAGACTGAACAAATGCAACCTCTCTCACTGACTATGAAACCGGCCCACCAGCCTCTCCACCACCCGCACCTCCTGGCTGGGCATCCTCCTCCGCCATCTTTGGTTCTGCTGGAAAACTCTGCTGCTGCAGCAGGTAAAATGCCTGGCGCAGCCCACAACGGAGCCCATGACCACGGCAATGTCTCGTCCTCGCGGCAACCGGGCTCCTCAGGCGCCTCGCTGTCCCTGGCCAGGCCCTCGGCAGCATCGCTATGTCATTCCCACTCGCTACACCCCAACTCCACGGCCCCTCAGCCTCTGTCGCTCGTGACCAAGTCTATAGAGTAGCCTCCCTCCTTATTCACTCCTGTCCTTCCTTCCTATATTTCTAGCTCTGCACACCTCTATTCGGGCCCTCTTTCTTTTTATCCTTTTTTCTATTTTTGTGCCATAAGGCTTTGAAAATTTGTTCTTGTTTTATCAAAGTTCATTGGTCAATATTTGACCCATCATTATCGAAAAAAACAAACATATAATTATTATAATGAATTAATAATGCAATGAGCTGTAGACTATAGCTTTGGGAATCTGCCAACATTTTCTCAACTTTTTTCTTTGTTTTTATTTTGTAGTGTTAAACAGTGCAACAGAATATTGTTATGTAGTTCCACTTAAACATGTTTAAATGACAGATATAAAAAGGTAGGTTAGATTATTATTCAATGAGCCCTTTTCTTGAAAGAGTTGGTTCTCCTTCATTATTTGTATTAAATACGAGCTTGCGAACCAATCATTTGACACCCGTTCAAACCCTGGAGGGCATGAGGATCGTGGAGACACCTCTCTTACTGAGGAACAACTTTAATTGTGATGTTACTTGTTCTTCTTTAAATGTACAGAAATATTGGTGGGGGGGGGGGGGGGGTTATTGTGTTAATGTGCATTGTTCCATTACGTTGTCTTTTTTGTTGTTGTTTACCTTTGGGGGTGGAGTCAGGTGGGGTGGTTGGACCTGGGGAGACAGGGGGAGGGCTATTGGGGTGGGTGGTGGGTTGCGGTATTCAATACAAAATGTCACAACGCTAGGACCAGTAGTATTTATTGCTTTAGAGATTGCTTGTTGTATCTTGTATGTTGTCCCTTTTTAAATATTTTCTTTTTCTTAATACATTGTATAAATATTTTTTCTTAACGTAAGCAACTTATATATAAAATGATCCATTTTTACAAGGAGGTTTTAAAGGTAAATCTTTTTGTTGTTGACAACCTGGATTCCACCCAATGTACTGTGTAGATTTCACGAACAGAGGTATGCACAACTTCATTTCAAGAAATGCGTCTATAAGCCATTTTACAAAAGAAGAAAATAAACTTGAAACAAGGGACAGTGGGTACCGTGTCTTCAGTAGTTTGGGAAAGTGTCAAAGCCCTTCTTTTTTATTGCACAGTCTCATCTCTACCAGACTAGATTTGTGTACAGATTTTCCGTGCCAAATTTTGTGATAATTTTCTCTCCCCCCTCTAACCACGCTGTAGGGTTTTTCTGTTGTTGATTGTTTTTTGTTTTTTTAAACCATACTTTGCTGTGACGTTACATAGATTGCTATGTATGTAGTATAAATGTTGCTATAACAAATGTGTTTGGTAGCAGATTGTCAAATATTACAATTTAAACTGAATAAAAAGACGGACATCATACTGTATAAACCCACAAGGGCCAAATTATGTATATTAGGAGGTTCATAAAAAACTATGAAATAACTACAAAAAAATACACAAACTGCCACTTTTAAGTACACTACTACATATAGGTAGATAGAAAAAATAGGCATGTTGATGTTGCAAGAGGCTGTAAAAAAAGCTACAAGAGAATCATCCACTTGGTACCATTGTAGTTGACATGACGCGACTGTAACCTGTCGATTTCTTCTCTGGTTTATTAAGATGCTAATGATGAATAGTTTGAATGTTTCCTTAACGGCTGTGATGTTCCTCTTCTATTTTATGCTCTTATATTTTGTTTAATTTTTAGTTTTTTTCCCTGTTATTTTAAATGGTTCCAAAACCATGTTTTTGTAATGAATAAATGTTTATGCTGTACAGTCTCTGTAGCATGCAGTTCTGTATTAATAAAAGCGACTTAGTATGTGCAGATCAATCTGTGTCTAACTTTTGTGATAGAATATGTGAGTGCAGAAACTCAATGAGCGATCGCAGTAGTGTAAAGGCGTAGCCGTTGGAAGTAGGGGTGCTGAGGGTGCTGCAGCACCCCCTGAAAAATCTGAATAAAACAAATGTTAATAAAAGCAACATTATTGTTTGAAAAAAAAAAAAGTTCACTAAAGTTGTGCACTGTGCCTTTAATAGTATTAGTGGACCGATAGAGACGTCTTTAGCGCTGGCAAAAAAATGTTTTGTTGCATGTCCACTTTGGCAAAAAAAGGTAGTTGTATAATTAAGAACAGTATCTTGCAGGATTCAATAGTTGGAATTGTAAGAGTTGTTGCCCTGTCCCTTTCTCTGTGATTGTCATTCTAATGGAATCCAGAAAGAACAAAACCCTGTCTACAAACATTTACATCAAAAGGTGCAAAGTTATGGGCAAAGACACAAAACATCCACATCAAATTAAATATTTTTCTTGATCAAATAACATGGAAAACAACCATTTTTTGTGCAGTATTAAACCATGCTTTGCTGTGACGTTACATAGATTGCTATGTATGTAGTATAAATGTTGCTATAAAAAATGTTTGGTAGCAGATTGTCAAATATTACAATATTACAAATATTACTGAACAAAGTGTAAAATAACCACTTTGTTCATTATTTAAAATATATATATATATATGAAAATGTATGCACTCACTACTGTAAATTGCTCTGGATAAGAGTGTCTACTAAAATGGAAAGTAAATGAATAGACCATTTCAGTTTTCACGTAGAAATAAGTTGCATTTGCAAAGTATTTCAAGAAACTGGAAACTTATATCAAGCAAGTATTTTTGTATCCCACAAGTATTATCAGATTAACTGTTTTGTACAGATAATTATAAGATTCAAGTTACAAATGCTGGTAAACACTCAAATACATTTAGTTTAAAAAATGTTCAGCGGGGGCAAAACAAAAAATCTGCGTCCCCCCGTCTGCAAAAAATTTGCAGCACTCCCACCCTCAAAATACACTGAACAAAAATATATAAACGCAACATGTAAAGTGTTGGTCGCATGTTTCAAGAGCTGAACTAAAAAAATCCCTGACATTTTCCATGTGCACAAAAAGCTTATTTCTCTCAAATTTTGTGCATACATTTGTTTACATCCCTGTTAGTGAGCATTTCTGTTTTGCCAAGATAATCCATCCACCTTACAGGTGTGGCATATTAAGAGCTGATTAAACAGCATGATCATTACACAGGTGCACATTATGCTGGGGACAATAAAAGGCCACTTTTAAAATGTGCAGTTTTGTCACACAACACAATGCCACAGATGTCTGAAGTTTTGAGGGAGCATGCAATTGGCATGCTGACTGCAGGAATGTCTACCAGAGCTTTTGCCAGAGAATTGAATGTTAATTTGTCTACCATAAGCTGCCTCCAAAGTTGTTTTAGAGAATTTGGCAGCACGTCCTACCGGCCTCAGAACCGCAGACCATGTTTAACCACGCCAGCCAAGGACCTCCACATCCGGCCTCTTCACCTGCGGGATCGTCTGAAGGGGGTTGCGTTTATATTTTTGTTCAGTATACCTTTACATATGTGTAAAGGTACTGAGGGCCTGTTTCCCAAGCACAGATTAAGCCTAGTCTTATTCTAAAATGGATTAAATAGTTTTTTCCCCCTCATCAATCTACACACAACCCCATAATGAGAAAGCAAAAACTGTTTTTTAGAAATGTTTGCAAATGTATTAAAAATAAAAAACAGAAATATCTTATTTACATAAGTATTCAGACCCTTTGCTATGAGACTCGAAATTGAGCTCAGGTGCATCCTGTTTCCATTGATCATCCTTGAGATGTTTCTACAACTTGGAGTCCACCTGGGGTAAATTCAATTGATTGGGCATGATTTGGAAGTGCACACACCTGTCTATATAAGGTCTGAGACAGGATTGTGTCGAGGCACAGATCTGGGGAAGGGTACCAAAACATTTCTGCAGCATTGAAGCTCCCCAACAACACAGTGGCCTCCATCATTCTTAAATGGAAGAAGTTTGGAACCACCAAGACTCTTCCTAGAGCTGGCCGCCTGGTCAAACGGAGCAGTCGGGGGAGAAGGGCCTTGGTCAGGAAGGTGACCAAGAACCCAATGGTCACTCTGACAGAGCTCCAGAGTTCCTCTGTGGAGATGGGAGAACCTTCCACAAGGACAACCATCTCTGCAGCGCTCTATCAATCAGGCCTTTATGGTAGAGTGGCCAGACGGAAGCTACTCCTTAGTAAAAGGTACATGACAGCCCGCTTGAAGTTTGCCAAAAGGCACCTAAAGACTCAGACCATGAGAAACAAGATTCTCTGGTCTGATGAAACCAAGATTGAACTCTTTGGCATGAAAGCCAAGCGTCACGTCTGGAGGAAACCTGGCACCATCCCTTCGGTGAAGCATGGTGGTGGCAGCATCGTGCTGTGGAGATCCTTGATGAAAACCTGCTCTAGAGCGCTCAGGACCTCAGACTGGGGCGAAGGTTCACCTTCCAACAGGACAACGACCTTAAGCACACAGCCAAGACAATGCAGGAAAGGCTTCGGGACAAGTCTCTGAATGATCCTGAGTGGCCCAGCCAGAGCCCGGACTTGAACCCGATCGAATATCTCTGAAGAGACCTAAAAATAGCTGTGCAGCGACGCTCCCCATCCAACCTGACAGAGCTTGAGAGGATTTGCAGAGAAGAATGGGAGAAACTCCCCAAATACAGGTGTGCCAAGCTTGTAGTGTCATACCCAAGAAGATTTGAGGCTGTAATCGCTGCCAAAGGGGCTTCAACAAAGTACTGAGTAAAGGGTCTGAATACTTATGTAAATGTGATATTTCCGTTTGTCCAAAAACCTGTTTTTGCTTTGTCATTATGGGGTATTGTGTGTAGATTGATGAGTGGGGAAAAAAAACAATTTAATCCATTTTAGAATTAGGCTGTAACTTAACAAAATGTGGAAAAAGTCAAGGGGTCTGAATACTTTCTGAAGGCACTGTATATAGACAGGTGTGCACCTTTCCAAATCATGTCCAATCAATTAAATGTGCCACAGATGGACTCCAATCAAGTTGTATAAACATCTCAAGGATGATCAATGGAAACAGGACGCACCTGGGCTCAATTTCGAGTCTCACAGCAAAGGGTCTGAA